GGGCTCTAGGGCAGCCACCATTCAAGAGTACCCACTAGATCAGAGTGTTCAAAGCAAACAATGATGGGGCCACAGTGCTAGGGCCACACTGAACAAGTGAGGTTCCCAGAGGCACCTTCCCCTTTGGACAGCACTCCAGCACCTGGGAGACTGTGGGGTCCTAGAGAGCACGGTCTGACACTGCCAGGCTGTGTGACAGCAGACAACGTCATCCTGCTCACACCTCAGATGGATTCTGTTAAAAGCTCACATAACCTCTTCAGCGAGCACCCGATGTACAGCAGGTGCTTGGCAAGCATGAGTGTCTCCAATCCCTTCTCCTCTCTTTGAATGCATCCTCACTGCCCTGCCCAGAAGTCTGCACCCAAGAGCTTGCCAGGGTAGGCAACATGCCTGCTAGACATTTCAAGAGAATCCTCACTTAGCTGGTGATCTCCGAAAACTTTGTACAGTGACTTCTACTTAGGGGCATTTACAGCATAAGAGACTTATTATCTTGAAAGTAGTGGTAACACCGACAAGACAGACCATAATGCTATGGACCACACTGTCCAGGTACTCACTGTGCCAGGCTCTAAGTACTCTATATTTATTGACTCATTTAAATACGCACGGCAACACTTTGCCCAAGGTACTATTATCATCCCCACTTTACAGATGAGGAAATGGAGGCAAAGAGGTTACATGGCTTGCAGAGGTCACAACGATAGTACAAGGGAGAGCCAGGGAGTCGGGCTCCAAATTCATAATCACTATTCAAAATTGCAAATAGTAATGTTCTATTTTTAGTTTAGCATTTTCAGATATAGGGACCATTTAAAGCAGACTTTCCATAAAATTACTTTATATTAAAGAACCAATCAATTCTGTCCTTCAGTTAGAAAAAGTAAATGTCTGAGTGGCCCCTGGGTGGCTCAGTCAGTTAAGTGTCTGACTCTTGGTTTCAGCTTGGGTCATGGTCTTGGGAGTTGTGGGATTGAGCCCCATGTTGGGCTCTGTGCTCAGTGGGGAGTCTGCTTGGGATTCTCTCTCTCCCTCTCCTCCTTCCCTGCTTATGCACTAAATAAATGATTCATAAAATAAATGGATCCTTAAAAAAAATTAAAAAGGGAAAGTAAATGTTTATAACGAATGAATCACCAGTGAAGCTTTAACATTCTACATCAAGAATCATTAATTCATGAGTTAGTCTTACTACAAAGACCAGACGATATAGCTCCTTGCCCTAAAATCTAAGGCACGTTTAAGTTTCACCATACCTCCTGCAGCCACATGTCCCCAGGTACCATTACAGATGCAGGAATTTTAGGAAACTATTTTACTCAGTCTATAGAGGAAAATCCACACTGCAGGAGTTAGCACTGACCAATCTCTTATTTAAAAAGTAATGTAGATTACTTATATATACATTCCAACATTTATTCCTTATATATTTCAATATATTTCCATTTTGTCTAGCTTAATATTACATGGTGGTTAAGAACATGAGTTCTGGGTAAGACTGATCTGGAATAAAATCTTGGTGCCACCACATGAGCTAGATTGTGACTGAGTTCAAGTCCTTAAACCTCTTTAGACCTCAGATGCTTAGTCTATAAAAAAGAGAGCCTACAGAAAGGCTTTTTGGGAGGATGATGTGCTTATCATACACAGTGCCATTTCCCCTCCATGTCAGCTTTGTCTGTTCTCACTGCTGCTAGAACAGTAAAAGCCCAGTGGTTGTCGGGAACACACACACAAACTCACAAGGAATATTCTTCCTGAGATTCTGTGGCACAGAAATATGAACCCCAACTTTTGAATCATTTAAGCCTGAATCTCAGGGTCTGAATGTGAAGTTTCCTCAGGTGAACATGAGAGAGTGCTAGCCCATCCCCCAGGCTGCCGTAAGGATTAACCATGTCGGAGGACCTAGCCCTGGCCCACAGACGGCGCTAAGAATTCATATCATTAGTCCCAGGCACTGGAGGAATTCAAAGTAGAAGGCCACATACTGTTTGCTCACCTTTAGGCAAGGTCCTTGACAACCCAGCCTCACAGAAAAGCACTGGCACAAAACAGGCAAACAATCAGGGCAGAGCTGGGGAGGGGCTGCCAGGACCAAATGGGAAAGACAAATGTTGAGCCCTGCTTCCTACTCTCAGACGGAGCCTGACTGTGCTTCTATGCAGCGACACTTGCATGCTATGCTGTGGGATGCAGGAGCCAAGCACAAACAGGACCCGTGCATAAGGTGGGGCTGAGAATATGGTTCGTTACCAAGGAAAGAGCAGGAACAATCCGTAAGGCTAGGTTTTTGATTTCAAGAACTCTTTGAGAGCTAAGCCTGTTCTCTCCTTGAGTTTCCTACAGTCTCCAACTGTGCTAAGTAAGACTATTTATTACACACCAGCACTGCCAATGCAGAAGAAAACAAGCCCACATCACGTCAACAGCAATCACTGTTCACGAGCCAGAAGGATACCAGCCGCATGGCTTGCAACCACACAGTGCTTCAACATTGTGACTTCACCTGTGAAATAAAGTAATCTAGAGAGCCTGGCCACTCAAGGAAGAGGTTTCAATAGTGGCAGCCACAGTTTCTCTTTGAAAAGTTCATTGCTCAAACAGGAGGCTGCAATACGCCAGCATTCAACAGCAGTCTCAGAGCACTGATGGAGATGATCAGACACCTCTAGCCCTCATCAACAGAACCATTCAAGTTTAAATTCTCAGCCAACACAAACTCATTCATCACCCTTGGAGTAACTTTTAGGTAGCATATTACTAAAGCCAATTAAAACTAAAAATCAGGTTTGATCAGCATTTCCTTAGAGATGATGAAGCAGAAAAACACAAAGAAGGCTTGCCCATAGACAAAGATGGCAGCCCTGAGGAGTCACCTATAACTGGTGGTAAGGCTAAGTGTTCAATTCGATCCGAGTGCTGGCTGCTTTGGAAGTACAGTTGATCCTTGAACAACACAGGTTTGAGCTGTGCAGGGCCACTTACATGTGGACTTTTTTATAATTACAGTATTATAAATGCATTTTTCTTACGATTTTTAAAAAAAATTTCTTACTTTATTGTAAGAATACAGCATATTATACATATAACATATAAAATATGTGTTAATTGCTTATCAGTAAGGCTTCCAGTAAGCTGTAGGCTATTAGTAGTTAACTAGTTATACATAGATTTTTGACTGCACAAGGAGGGGTTGGTGCCCCTAACCCCTGCACTTGATGTTCGAGGTCAACTGCAATTTATTTGTTCTTTTACTACATACTCCATGATAGCTCTTTTTAAAATAAGTTTCTTAAAATAAAAATCACATACACACACACACGCACGTGCGTGCATTCTGTTGTATCTCTTGGAAATCCAACAGCTCAGAGTGAGGTCCCCAGTTTCCTTAGTAAAACTTTTGGAATAAAGGCCAAGCAACTCCCTTTTTGGTGGGCTGCTAATCTCAGCAGGAAGCACTTCCGTGACATGGAGGTGAAGGTTCATACAAACAAATGTGCTCTGTGGAGCCTTGACAAATCAAATCTAATGAGATTCCAGACATGGCCTAACAGAAATGGAGCCAGACATTTCTCCAGACTAGATTCCACTATGAAAAAGACCACATTTAATACAAAATAAATGTGCTAATCCAGGGACAGCACATTCACTTTATATAAATTATAAAATTACAAAATTAGCTAAAGGTTCTCCATGTCTCCAGGCATTTGTCTCAAATGGATTTTCAAGCTTTAACACATACCTAATTTTAGCTAAGAATTTTTCCTAATGGAAACAAAACCCTCTATAAACCACACCAAAAATTCTTAAATGTACCTCTGAAAGCTGGTACAAGTTGAGGATTCAAGGCACAATCACAATATGCAAATGTCTAAAACAGTTGAGGATTCTGTTCATTTTAGCATTTCACAGGAGCCCCAAGTGCCGACATTTTTATGAGAATCCCTCAGGAAGAAGCCCCCCCCCCCCCAGGAAGTGGTGTACTCTGACTTACAGAGCAAGCTAGTGCGATGCAAAACTTGTTCCCCTTCTCCTAAGCTGTGACTTGCAGGAAGTTCAAGAGTCAAATTTTATACTTGGTAACAGCAACATGTTCCCTTTTCCTTTCATTTTCACTGATCTTGTTTTTCTCCCTTTCTGTTCATATTATTACCATTGCTGTATAGGTCTTATTTTGGTATCATGCTTCAAGTTCTTTTGGGAAAAAGGCCAGGTATAAATACATTTCAAATACAGACCAAAAAAGCAAGCAAATATTGTAATTATTTTTAGGATATAAAAGACAGCATCTATGCCTTCACAGCACACCCTAATAAAAAAGCAATATTTCTGAATTACCTTAATAGACACCTAGGTTTGACACTACCAGGCCTGAGCTCATTAAGTCCCCAATTCCCTGATTTTACCAAGAACAAACCTATTCCCTGAGTACAACCTTAGTTATCTTCATCAGTTCCCACTCTGGTAGGGAAGAGCCCCAAAGCTAAGGGATAAGATGTTGTATGTGCTTAGCTCTGTGACCCTAGATAAGTCATTAACATGTGACAAGAAAGCAACTGGGGTGCTTGGGTGGCTCAGTCGTTAAGTGTCCGCCTTTGGCCCGGGATCAAGCCCCGCATCCCGCTCCCTGCTCCACAGGAAGCCTGCTTCTCCCTCTCCCACTCTCCCTGCTTGTGTTCCCTCTCTCGCTATGTCTGTCAAATAAATAAATAAAATCTTTAAAAAAAAAAAAGGCAACTTATTCTCCTACACTACAAAACTCATTATAATTAGGTAAATGCAGATTTGTTCTTAAAAGTAAAAGTATAGTATAAATGGAAGATATTACTATCATACACATTAGAAGCCTAATGAGCTTCAGAACTTTACACTCATGGCAAAAATTTTTCATTCCAAATTCTTAATAGTTTCTTAGGCAACAACATGTTAGAGGCAGAGAAGTCATATAAACACTCAGCGATGCAGACACCAAATAATGAAAGAAAGCATTTCTATACATAAACATTATTTATGCCTATTTTCATTTTTTACATTAAGATGTAAACATCCCATCATCCAAAATAGCAGTGAAAAAAACAAAACAAAAACAAAAAAACAAATTAAGCCTTTAAAGACAGCTGGTGAGTTTTAAAGTGTCCTGGCTGAATGATCCAAACACCAACCACTATATTTCAATAATTCAGTAATATGGAGAACCAAACTGAACCAACTGGTAAGAGAGCTATAAAGTATCAATATATAGCAAAATCACAGAATGCTCCAACTTCTTGGTTGCCTGGCTATTTACAAGAACTCTTCTTGTTTTAACCATTAGTTCAGAAAAAATTTTCTAAACTGAACCACTTCACTCTCCTGGCTCAGTAAGTACAAAATGCCAAACATAAACCAACTTTATTTTGCTGATTTAGGATCATGTAGTCTATCTTGGGGTAGCTCTCAGAAAATACATAATTTCTGTGCAGTTTTGTTAGAGTCAGAAAACCAAAATGGAATTTCCTGTTTTAATTAAATCCTTGATATTACAAGCTTATTGTCTTCCTTTTGCCTCATTCTCCTAAAAGGTTCTAGTTAAGCAAGATTTTACAATTGCAGACATATCTACATATACAGGTTCAGGCAAACATGGTGGTTCAATGACTTTACCCCTCTGTATTATTCTGCTTAATAAATACACTTAGTAACATGAATTATATGTAATGGGTTCACTGTCTTCTGGATATCAAATTTTAGTACCTTATATATACTTTCCTTGGAATCTTTTCTTTAAAAACAAAAGAAAATCATTAATGAAGGTACCTTCCGAAACCAGGAGAGTTGCAGATCTTGCTAATGGAATCAAACTGTGCTTCCTGTATTATTAATTCATAACTGCTTAAACAACCTTTATAATGTTATCAAAAAGCAAACAAGTTCTCTAAGATACTAGGAGCTGAACTCCTCAAAGCCACAAAATACTAAGAGTTTGCTGGAAGTTGTTACCTTCTGATTCTCTTAGTACAGTTCAGTGTTTCCACAGAGCAGGACCCACACCACGGTGGCACACAAGAGTATTTAAGGTGGTATACAACACAGAATAATACAGAATCACAGTGAAATGTCATTCCCTTTACAATTTTATCCTTCTGATAATTCCACAGAAAGCGCCCCATTTTGGTGCTGGGTAACATCTCTCTCACCCTAACAAAGAGCAGGCTTCTTGGATTCAGAGCCTTGGGAGGCATTAGTATCTAGTTAGAATTTAATAACATCTTTTATTTTGTAGTTATTCCTGGTAAATAGATGCTGGTTTTCCTCTCGGAGAAGAGATTAGTTTGTTTTTTAAACTATTTGAAGATTTAAAAAGATAAATACTAAGAAATAACAGTGTATGTAATACTCAAGTGACTGAAGTTTGGGGAACAATGGCTATATAATCTAACAAATCACATGTTTAAAAAGTAATTTCAAAAGAAACTACAAACATGGTCTAGAAAGGAAACATATGTTACTGTGTTTTCAATACTTGTGATGTTCTAGAGATAAGCTCAAAAAAGCCTTCTCCTATATCAAGTGATTTCCAGATAAGATTCAAGCAAAAATATAAAAGGAAAAAGAACCAATTCCACACCATCCTGGACTTCATAAACTCTTGGTACCAAAAATGTGCATGTAATCTGATATTTAGCAAGTCGTCTGAAACAGAAACTCCACGGCATCTTTTTATTTAGGCTCTACTTAGGCCTCACAAAGGCGAACCCAGGCTGTAGAGTCCCCGCTTGGTCCTCAAGAGCACGGACCACACACAGTTTTTGATTGAACTCTTCAGAAGGATTCAGGACCGCTGGCCAATTCTTCCAATGGCTTCTGACTGTTCGTCCGCTGCCGTGGCCGTGTGGAGAGCAGTCTCCTCCTCCTCTGAATAATAATCTCACGGCTAACGTGAGGAGTCGGCCTAGCAGGTACCGCATGCTCCCAGGCATGCCATGCTGACTTAAAACAAACAGGATAGTTGGACAGAAAGAAAGCAGAGCTTCTTGAATGTGGTGAACAGTTTCTTCATCACAGTGGCAGTTAAGATAGGCTCCCTCTTCCTTTTTCCCCAGAAGCCAGGGCAACATGTCTGAAGGATGGTGTCAGACATCATAATCAGGAGCCTTGCCCTGGGCTTGCCTTAGCCAGATCTGCAGTGTAACGAACGCCCCCACAGTCACATGAAAGAAAAGCTGCCACAGGTTGCGCAGTTCATAGAGATACATGTTGCACAGACAGATTAAACCAAAAGTCAAAAAAGATTTGACATTCCGCCAGCCGGTGTAGTAGACAAGTAAGTAACACTGTTCAAAATATAAAATGAAAGATGATTAGGGTTACAAGAAAAGAAATAGATGCTTCTACTACAAAATTTTAACAGGCCACAGGGTAAAATTTAAGAGTGGAATAAAGGGATGTTTCATTTACAGATAAGATAATGTAGCCTCTTTAAGACATTCAGCTATGAAAGCTCTACAGCTTGAAAGGAAAACAGATTTTTCCTTTTATGTTTGTCATCTGTCAAAAGACACAACATTTTGTATCATATTTAAAATGGAGTTACAACTGGATGACTCCCTTGCAAACAGGCTGAACACATTCCTCAAGGTGACAGGCAACGATAAAGCATTCTCAGGGTCTGAGGGGATTCCATCTCTCATTCTCACCCCAGAACAGTACAAAAAACCTCAAACAAACCATAGCAAAATGGTCTCATATAATCTGAGTCTGCATATTAATGAAATCCACAAATATTTACTGACCCCCCCATTAAGTGCCTAGGAACTAATAAGCAAGGTAGAGTATCTGAATTCATTCAACAGATGTTTATTGAGGGCCAGCTACAAGTTAGGCATTGTTCTTTAGCTTCCAGTAAACAAATAAAGCCCTTGCTCACATGGAGCTTAAATTCTAATGGAGGGAGAAAGATTACATATATAAAAGATCATATATATGTATATAAAATACCAAATAGTTATGTCTTAAAATAAAAGATGGAACAAGGGGACAGAGAATGTAGTAAGTGCTATTTTAGAAAATATAATAAAGAAACTACCCCCCATAAGCCCCAAATCCTGGCATTCACCTCTTCCTGCTTTATTTTTCTCCACAATATAACTATAAACACACTTTAAAAATATGCTTGTTTTGTTTTATATATATATATTCTTCCAATAGGATCTAAGCTTCATGAAAGGAGAGATTTTTTTACTGTTTTGTTCACTCAATTATCCAGGGCCCAAAATGGCACACAGTAAGTGCTCAATAAAAATTTGTTGAAAGAACTGTTTTCTAGAAGATATCTAAAATTCACAACCTGTTAAATATAGTAATTATATGTGATTACAAAGTCTTAAGAAAGAAGCAGAAGTCTTTGTGTGAAATTCTATCCAGGCTTCAGTACAGGAAGGGCTTTAGGGTGTTTGCAACAATGCAGAAAGAATGTGGAAATGTTCTGTTAAATCTTTTTATTTCTTATACAAATTAGGACTTTGCTTACTTAAAGAGAAGACTGCTATCCAAGCAAAATGAACTGTAAGGTCTTATTTTGAGTGATTTTCATTGTGTAAAAAAAGTTGGAAAAATAATTTTTCCTTTTGAAATAATTTTGGACCTAGAAAAGAGTTGTAAAAATCGTAGAGTTCTTATACATCCTTCACCCTGCTCCCCCTAATGTTATCTTCTTGCATAACCACAGCATAATCATCAAACTACAAAATTAACATTGATACAATACTGTAGACTAATCTACAGCCTTTATTGGAATTTTGCCAGTTGTCCTAAGGCTCTTTTTCTGATCCAGAATCCAATCCAGGATTCCCTATTGCATTTAGCTGTTATATCTCTTCAAATCTGTTATAGTTCCTCAAGTCTGTTTTTCATGACCTTGACAGTCTAAAGAATATCAATCAGTTATTTTGTAGACTGTCCCTTAATTTTGGTTTGCCTGATATTGTCTCAAGACTGAAGTGAGGACATGCAGTTTGGGCAAGAATACCACAGAAATGATGTGCAATATGTCTTATAATTGGTGATGTTAACTTTGATCTCTTGGTAAGGTGGTGTCTGACAGCTTTCTCCACTGTGAAGTAACTATTTTTCCCCTTGTAGTTAGTAAGTTGTCTTGTGGGAGGAGAAATAAAGACATTCTCAGGTGAAAGACTAACAGAATTTGACATCTACAGATACACCTTAAAAGAATGGCTAAAGGAAGATCTCTAAGCAGAAAGGAAACAATAAAAGAAGAAACCCTGGAACACTGAGAAAGCAAAAAAGAACAGTCAGCAAAATAATGTAATAGGTTCTCCTTCTCCTCCTGAGATTTCTAAATTGATGACTGAAGTAAAAATTCATAACACTGTCTGATGTGGTTCTAAATATATGTAGAGGAACTATTTAAGACAATTATATTATAAACAGAGGAGAGCAAAGGGACATAAAAGGAGATACAATTTCTATGTTCCACTTGAACTAGTAAAATGACAACACCAAAAAACTGATAAGTATGTATAACACAATACCCAGAGCAACCATTTAAAAACTATACAAAGAGGGGTAGATGGGTGGTTCAGTCAGTCAAGCGTCCCACTTTTGATTTTGGCTCAAGTCATGATCTCAGGGTTGTGAGACTGAGCCCCACGTAGGGACCCAGGCTGGGTGTGAAGCCTGCTTGGGATTTTCTCTCCTTCTCCCTCTGCCCCTCCTTCCCAATCTTGCGCACACGGGTATACTCTCTCTCTCTCAAAAAAAAAAAAAAAAAAAAAAAAAAAAACTACAAAAAAAAAAAAACAAAAAAAAATTACAAAAAAAAAAAAATGGAGTTCTACAAAATGTTCAAGTAACCCACAGAAAGAAAGGAGAAAGAAAACATAAAAATGAAAACCAGAAAACAAAAAAAATAAGATGGCAAACTTAAACCCTAATATATTAATGTTACATTAAATGTAATGGCCTAAATACAACAATTAAAAAACAGAGATCAGCAGAATGGATTAAAAACAGCTTTTAATCTGTCTACAAGAAACTTACTTCAACTGATATAGGCAAGGTGAAAGTAAAAAGATGGAGAATATATTATGCAAACATTAAACAGAAGAAAGCAGAAATGGCTATATTAATATCAGATAAATATATTTCCAAAAAAGAACGGGCTAGAGAGGGATATCATTATATAAGAAATTATATAATGATATATAGTGATAAATGGATCAGTCCACTAAGAAGGCAATATATCCTAAATGCGTATGAGCCAAACAAAGCTACAAAAACTCATAGAACTAAAATGAGAAACCAATCCACAATCATAGTTGAAAACTTCCAATACTCCTCTCTCAACTGATAGAACTAGACAGAAAATCAACAAGGATACAGAAAATTGAACACCATCAACCATCGCGACCTAATTGACATTTATAGAGCACTTACTCAGCTACAGTAGAATACACATTCTGTTTAAGTGCTCATGGAACATATACCAAGACAGACCATATTCTGAGCCACAAAATAAATTACAACAAATTTAAAAGAACTGAAATCACACAGAGTGTTTTCCAACCACAATAGAATCAAACTAGGTATCAATAATGGAAAGAAAACTGGAAAATCTCCAAACTCTTGGACGCAAAACACAATTCCAAATAACCCATAATCCATAGGTCAGAGGAAGCCACAAGGAAAAAATTTTTTAAATACATTGAATTAAATGAAAATAAAATGCAACATATCAGCCAATGGAAAGAGCCCAAATGTCAACCGACTGATGAATGGATAAAGATGACATGGGGTGTGTGTGTGTGTATCCCATTTTATATGTATATATATATTCCATTATATTCCTATATATATTCCATTATATATTCTATTCCTATGTATATTCCATTATATGTGTATATAATATTCCATTTTTATATATATAAATTTAAATATGTGTGTGTGTATATATATATATATATATATATATACATATATATATTTATAATGGAATATTACTCAGCCTTAAAAAAGGAATGAAATCTTACCATTTGCAATGACATGGAGGGAGCCAGAAAGTATTATGCTAAGCAAAATAAGTCAGTCAGAGAAAGGCAAATACCATATGATCTCATTCATATGTGGAATTTAAGAAACAAAATAGAAGAGATGGGGGGCGGTGAAGAGAGGCAAACCAGGAAACAGACTCTTAACCACAGAGAACAAACTGAGGGTTGCTGGGAGGTGGGCAGAGGGATGGGTGAAAGAGGTGATGGGTATTAAGGAGGGAACTTATTGTGATGAGCACTGGGTGTTGTATTTAAGAGATGAATCACTAAATTCTACACCTGAAACTAATATTACACTATGTTAACTAACTGGAATTTAATAAAAACTTGGAAAGAAAGAAATAAAATGAAAAAAATGCAACATATCAAAATTTATGGGACACAGATAATAAAGTGCTCAAAACAGAGAAATGTATAATGCTAAAAGTATATATTACAAGAGAAAAATTCAAATCAATTATCAAAGCTCCCATCTCAAGAACCTAGAACAAGAGTCAAATAAACCCAAAGCAAGCATGAAGAAGGAAATAAATTGAGCAGAAATCAGTAAAAATTGAATATATGAAAAAAACAAAACAAAGAGCAGGTTCTTTGAGAAGATCGATGAAATTAACAAGTAAGTCTGACAAAGAAAAAGAGAAGATACAAATTACCAATATGAGGAATGAAGTAGAGGATATCACTACAGATCATACAGACACCAAAGAGAGAGATAGTAAGGGGATACTACAACCAGTTCTACACACATAAACTTGGTAAGATGAAATAGATCACTTCCTCATAAAATACAAACTAACATAATTCATGTATTATGAGAAAGATAATTTGAATAACTGTGTAACTATTAAGAAAATGGAACTTAATACAGATTATACAGTCACGGTAATCAATACTATGTGGTACTGGCAGAGAGACTAATACATAGATCAATAAGACAGAATACAAAACTCTGTACACAAATACATCCAACTGATGTTTGACAAAGATGCAAAAGCAATTCAGGGGAGAAAAAAAGCCTTTTCAAAAAAATGGAGCAATTGGCCATTCATTCACAAACAAAACAACACAAAACCAAGAAAATTAAAACTCAAAACCAAAAACACAAAAATCCCTCAATCTAATCATCTAAGTCATTTCAATACAATCTATACAAAACTTAATTAAAAATGGATTTTCAAAGGTGTTTATTTTATTATTTTTTTTATTATGTTAGTCACCATACAGTACATCATTAGTTTTTGATGTAGTGTTCCATGAGTCACTGTTTGCGTATAACACCCAGTGCTCCATGCAATACATGCCCTCCTTAATACCCATCACTGGGCTCACCCATCCCCTGTCCCCCTCTAAAACCCTCAGTTTGATTCCCGGAGTCCATAGTCTCTCATGGTTCGTCTCCCCCTCTGATTTCCCCCCTTCATTTTCCCCTTCCTTCTCCTAATGTCCTCCAGGCAACAGCTGATGCCAGAATATTTATCTAAAGACAGTCTCTCTGGAGTCTCTGGCCAGTGCTAGGATGACTTCCTGCCTGGAAACAAGACAGGAAAGTGCTGGAAGGGGTGCATGCCAAAAGGGCTGGGGCCTGAAAGCAGTAGGGCTCAGTTAGTGAAAGAAACCACTAGAGTCAGCTAGGGAGCTTTAGAGAACACATCAGTGCTGTCCTGCCTTAGACCAATTAAATTCTAAACCACTGAGCAGGGCAGGAGAAGGAAGAGAGCAAGCAGTTATATTTTTTTAAAGCTCCCCAAATGCTTACAATAGGTAGCCAGGGTTGAGAACCCCACCATTCCAGGGCTTCCTTTAACTTGCTTCTGCCCCTGGACCGGGCCTCCTCGTGAGAGGCTTCTGGAAAGAATGGGGAAAAGAAGAGGACATTGCCCAGGAACCTGCTCCTCATAGCACCCTCCTCAGGAGTTGGCCAGGGCTTTCCCTCTGCTCAGCACTTTGCAGAAACCAAGTGGGAAGAGAAAAATAGCATTGCCTGCCCTCACAGAGCTCTCAAAACAGCTGGGGGGTCGGTGGCAGAACCGCGAGGCATTAGGCTGCAGCGGGATTGAAAGGACAGACTCTGAGAGTCCCACCGGGGCGGGGGCGGGGGGTCGACATGGAGGGCATGGAGCCTCCTAAGGATGCGTAAGAGAGGGGCACAAGGGGAGCACAAGGAAGGCAGCTACGAGAACAGTGCACAGAGTGAGCAGAGTCACAGAAAAGGCCTGGGGTGGCACAGTGACGAGACCACTCTAGGGTGCAGGATGTCCCTGGAGAGTAGCAGGAAATCCACTTTGATGATTTAAGTAGAGTGGGGCCAAATTATGGAGGGCTGACGTACTAGCCTGAGTAATGTAAGCATCATACGGTAGAGAGTAGGAAGACGCTGTGGAGTCTTGAGTAATGATAGTGTTTTCCAGTAATCTAACAGAGTATTTGAGGAAACCAGAGGTGGCAAGACTGAATAATACAACAATACCAATGTGAAAGACAAATAAAAGCCTCTGTGGTCCCTGTGGAAGCACAAAGAAAAAGAGTAAATCCTAGAAATAGGTTTACGGTCTAAATAAATAAATAAATAAAAATGGATCATGAACTTTAATGTAAAACATAAAACTAAAACTTTTAGGGGCGCCTGGGTGGCTCAGTCATAAGCGTCTGCCTTCGGCTCAGCTCATGATCCCAGGGTCCTGGGATTGAGCCCCGCATCGGGCTCCCTGCTCGGCGGGAAGCCTGCTTCTCCCTCTCCCACTCCCCCTGCTTGTGTTCCCTCTCTCACTGTGTCTCTCTCTGTCAAATAAATAAAATCTTAAAAAAAAAACTTTTAGGAGAAAACAAAGGAGAGAATCTTTAGGGTCCAGGAGTCGGCAAAGAGTTCTCAGACTTGAATCAATGGAATTATAATGGTGACAGATGGTAGTTACACTGTGGTGAGCACAGCATAAGGTGTAAACTGTGGAATCACTATGTTCACACCTGAAACTAGTTAACACTATGTGTCAACTATATTTCAATTAAAAAAAAGTTCTTAGACTTGATACCACAAATATATTCCATAAAAGAAAGAAGTGATAAAATGAACTTTATCAAAATTAAAAACTTTTGCTCTTCAAAAGACCTGGTTCAGAGGATGAAAAGACAAGCTACAGACTGGGACAAGATACTTGCAAATTACAATTCTGACACGGGCTAGATGGCTAGAACTCTCAAACCTGACAGTAAAAACCAAATGATCCAATTAGAAAATAGGCAAAAGACATGAAAAGACATTTCACCCAAGAGGACACATAAGTAACAAATAAGTACATGAAACAATGTTCAACATTTTTAGCCATTAGGGAAATGCAAATTAAAACCAATATAAGGGATCACTACACAGCTATCAGAATGGCTAAAATAAAAAATAGTGATAACAACAAATGCTGGAGAGCATATGGAGAAACTGGATCACTCACACAATGCTGTGAGTGATGTAAAAATGTAAAATGTAAATGTAAAATGGAATGCCACTCTGGAGAACTGGGTCTGTCTCAATAAAACTAAGCATGCAACTACTACAAGACCTAGCAATTGCACTCCTGAGCATTTATCTCAGAGAAACGAAGACTTATGTTCACACAGAAACTTGTACATGAATGTTTATAGCAGCTTTATTTATAATAGCCCCAAATTGGAAACAACCCAGATGCCCTTCAATGGGTGAATGATTAAACAAACTGTGCTACATCCATACCCCGGAATACCATTCAGCAACAAAAAGGAACAAACCATTGATGTATGCAACAACCTGGATAAATCTCCAGAGAATTATACTGAGCAAAATAGTGCCAATCACAAAAAGTTCATACTATATGGTTCCCTTTATATAACATTACTTAAAATGAGGAAATTTTAGAAATGGAGAACACATTAGTGGTTGCCAGAGATGAAGGGGCAGGAGGGAAGTGGATGTGGCTCTAAAAGGGCAACTTCAAAGGGGTGCTTGTAGCAATAAGAATGTTCTATATCTTACCCACAATGACATCAATTTCCTGGCTGAGATAATGTATTATAGTTGTGCAAGATAGTACTCCTGGGGGAAACCCAGGTAAAGGTTATATATCTCTCTTATAACAATCACAATTATCTCAAAATAAAAAGTTTATTAGGAAAAACAACTGTATACTCACATGTGTCTCCAATTTACTTTATAAACAACTAATAAACATACTATAGGCATGTACATACAAAAAGAGACTGAGATAGAGAAAGTGTTACAAAATGTTAATAATTGGTGGCTCTAAGTATACTAGTCTTTCAACTTTTCTGGAAGTATGAGAGTTTTCAAAATAAAGCACTGAGGGGAAAAAAGAACAGTCTCTAGTTTCTAGATCCTTTGATTTCCTCTTTCAAATGTTCCACAGCAAGATTACTTCTATTTGGCTGAGCTCTGTGTGTCCATAAGTACCCACAGCCTAGAGAAAAAGACAACAAACTATGTGGCCTTAGCCTCTGAGGTCTGATCTAAAGGGGATTAAAAAACACTCTGACAACTGGAGACGGAGCATGTCATAGGGTAAAATATAATCACATGTTTTACTGTGGAAAAAGCCAGCGTTATTATCACTCTGCTCAGTATATTTGGAAAGCATGCAGTTTCATGCCTGTCAATAAGAAAACTGGCTTTTTGCTTTTCTTTTTTAAAGCATGAATCCATTTAACCTCTCTCAAGTACAAGAATCCCTGAGTGACAGCGCTCCTCTGAGAACTCTCTTCAGCTATTCCGGGGAAGGTAGCAGAGGTATGTTATCTCTCTAAACAACAGCACTGATCTGGAGTCCTGCAGACCGGGGCTTGAGCCGCTGACTGCACGAACTGGCTAGATGGACCTCAGTGAAAAACGGCAATCATAACAAGACTAGCGTGGGACTTCCTGTGAGGATTTCCTGGGTACATGGAATATAAAGGGCTTAGCACACAGTAGGAGCACAATACAGTTTGCAATTATAAGTAGTCTTTAAAATTATTTCATTAAGGCTCTTTGATAAAAAGTAATTTTTAAAATATAATAAATGAATAAAATCATTTCATTAAGGCCAAGCAGCCAAAAGTACATTTTACAAGAACTCCTCATAAAATTATTTTAAAGTTAACATTTACCTCACATTGTTTTAGAATCATATGAAATAATGCATATGAGTTATAAAATTATAATTTTATAGCTTTATAGAATTATACAAATATAGGAATTGTGCTTACAAACAGCATAATATAGTGGAATGAATATAATATTTAAAATCAGAAGACCCAGAGTTAAGTCCTGACTCTACCGCTTACTGGGCCATGTGATTTCAAACTGCCTCAGATTTCTCATTTTCAAAAATGAGATAATATCCTCTGTGTGAGAGAACTGTAGAGATTAAAGTTTAAAAAAAAATCTATACAAGAATGCTACATAAAATTAAAGCACTTGTGACATTAACAAGTGTTAACGTTTCCTGCATGAAATGTCATTCATTATAATTAAATCTGTCAAAGTGTATAGAAAATTTCTAAATACTAATGATTAAGAAAAATTAGGGGCTTTTAAAAAGCAGGCCCACTTGAAACTAAAATCTCTAGTCTATCTTTACGTAAAGTCAAATGCATCTATTCAAAGTATTTCACTAGAGACTTCTATTGAGTTTTTTAGGTAGCCTTATGTTTGCAGTCCTGAATCTAACATTCTTTCTATGCAAGCCAGAGAAATGTGTCGCTTACAAAAGTTAGGTCAAAAGGTATTGCTTGCTGTACCATGTTTCAGCAAAGACATTCCTCAGTTTGAGGATCCTGCTTTTGCTGTTGCCTGTTCAAAGACTTTCCCAAAAGTACAAAATCCTCACGCTGAAGTATAAGCAGAGCCCTGAGGCTCAATAATCAATAACCAAAAAATCTAGAAATAGCCTTTACCGCCACAGGCAGATGACATACTACCACTGAAACCTGGCAGAGAAGAGTGTTAACGTTAAATACACTGGGATCTAGGTCCATTCAAAATAGAGATGTAGATCATAAAGCTAACAGAGGCTCAAAAGAGAGGCAAAGAACTCAGACATTATTTTTATTTATTTAAGTGCACAATTAAGAGAATTAATACCTGAAACAATAATAGGAAAGTATTTCTCAAAATTTGGAGAGAACCTACCTGGTAAAGGCAGGCTGCTGTTCCAAGGAAAAATGCAACAACGTAATTAAAATCTTCACCATCACTCTGCAAAAAACAAAATTAAAAGTTACTTTTTTCCTGGTGGAAGCCCATTTCCAAAAATAATCCATCAGCATAGGATACGGCAATGTTTATGCACAAATGGTCAAATTTTTATCAAAATGGTATATAAAAATTCTCAAGAGTCCTAAAAGTTCCAAGGAGTGTGAGGCACAGAGACTACCAGTCTTCCTCTGTTTTGGCCCATGAATTTCATCTTACCCATGTGTGAAAGGTGAAATGAAAATGAAATCACTTATGTCAAGGAGTTTTAAAATGGTGTCAGAGGCCATCTCCTCTAGATTTATGCACGTCCTCACCTAATGAAACCATGAACTCTGAACTGGGCCAAACTACAAATATTCCAAGGATTCTGCCTGAACCCCTGCAATTTGCTATAGTAAGAGAATTTGCTTAGGGACAGCCTTAGCAACCAATTATATTCAGCCAAGATTAGTTTTCTGATGCCAACACCAAACAAAATTCTTTGTAAACAACACATACAAACATTCCTTTCTGTCTTCTTTAAACCCTTGACTTTTGTACCCTAAAGGGACACAATTTGGGTTGCTACCCAATCTGTGCTCCCCAAGTTGCAATTCTGAGACCCCAAATAAATGCTCTTGTTTTATTTCAGCTCTGCCTCTTTTCTTAGTTAACCCAAGAAAAGATGAAAGCCAATGGGAAAATTTCCACATAAAGTAAAAAACCTCTCTTCTCTACTGGAAAAAAAAAAAAAAAAAAAAACAACATATAAAGATGTATAACACCCCAGTGGCCTATAAAGTCAATCCCGCTCACTAGGATCACTACTTGACTCAAATAAATATTGACAAACCTTACTATCAGGTAAGCAGATCATTGAATCATCCAATAAAGTAATTTGACATGATTAAAAAAACTGAAAAGTTACTGTCCACTAGAGTGTGCTAAATCCCAATGAGAACAGTCACACATGCTGTGCAAGAAAAACAGCCACCCAGAAGAAAAAGAGATACATCATACGCAGAATGTTTCTTTTCAAAGAAAACTAATGGAAAACTAACAGAAAACCCAAGTTTTTCTATTCTATTTTGATTCCTCTTAAATATCTATATTAAATTTCTTTCAGTGTTTTATGAGGTAAAACATAAAGCCCAGGCAGGAGCATTACATTTGGCCCTTATTTTAGAAAAAGTATCTTTACACAATGAAAATTTTCACAAGACATGGGAGTGTCTCTCATGACGTCTTCATGAAATAATATACAGAGAAAATTCCTTTTCCACTTGCCATCGGGCAACAGAACTGACCATAAGGCAGAGGGACAGTTGCTTATCTTGGTGAGATGATCTTAAAAGAGGAACCATTAATCTGTCTGGGATGCTTAGGTCTGTTCTACCTCAGAGGCACGGAAGGTCACAAAACCTTTCTAACTTTAATAATTCTAAGACTTTAAATTCTGCTTGTTTTTTCTTAATCCTTTATTTTTTAAATGATTTTTTTTCTGATTATAAAAGCTTATGTTCATTGTACAGAATTCGGAAAACAGACTGTTACAAAGAAAAAAATTCATATAGTCTATAATACCATAACCCTGGGATTATTACTAACCATTTCATGTATTTCCTTCCGATCTTTCTATACAAAAATATATGTACATTAAAAAAACGGAATCATACTTTTATATACTGCTTTTTAGTAGTACTACACATTTATCATAAACACTTTCTCAAGATACTGAATATTCCTCAACCACATGATTTGTAGTGATTATATAACCTTTCATTGTGGGGATATACCATTGATTTAATTACCCTATAATTGGATATTGGTTTTTCCATTAATTTATAATATCACTTTATAACTCTCTTAATTGTCTTTAGAACACTTAAGAGCATGTTCCTGGAGTCAGTCAGACCTGGGTTCAAGTCTATTTACTATCTGTATGGTCTTCGGACTATTTAACTTCAATTTCCTTTTTTAAAAAATAAAAGTTGTAGAGATTAAATAACATTTGCAAACACACAGAACGCTAACTGGCACACAGTAAGTACTCAAATTCATTCACCAACTTCTCTCTCCCTGAGGTTACTGTGTGCATCATTTATCAGATAACTAGATTACCTTCTAGTATTGTTTAAACCTGTAGTATACTGGCCTTATCTTCTTCAAGTAGACCCCAACCTCTTTTTTTTTAATTGAGGTATAATTGACATATAACATTTTATCAGTTTCAGGTGCACACCATAACAATTCTTTATTTGTATATATTGCAAAATGATCAGCATAATAAATCTAGTTATCATCTATCACCAAAGTTACAAAACTTTTTCTTGTGATGAGAACTTTTTAAGTACTCTCTTAGCTATTTTCAATATACAACACAATATTATTGAATATAATCACCATGTTGATGTTACATCTCCCATAACTTATTTATTTTATAACTGGAAATTTGTACCTCTTGATCTCCTTCACCCATTTTGCCCACTCCCCCAATCCTACCACCCTAACCTTTCTTCAAGGCAGAAATTCAACCTTACTACTTGCATGAAACTGCACATAGTAGGAATTCAACAAATGCATGCCAAGTTGAGCTGAGCTTAAAAAAATCTATTTCTATGGACTTGCCAAAGATTGTCTATAAATATATTTTCCATTCAATAAATATTCAGTAAACACTTAGGAGTCAGGTATTATATTACTAGACCTGGAATAGAAGACAACTAAATCCATAAGAACTCAAGGAGTACGCTTTCTGATTAAGAAGGCAGATACATTAACCAACAATTCCCATTCAAAATGATAACTGATGGGACAGGTGGGTGTACAGGATATAAAAGGAGAGTACTGGCGGGAGCAAGATGGCGGAGGAGTAGGAGACCTGGATTTCGTCTGGTCTCAGGAATTCAGCTGAATAGGGATCAAACCATTCTGAACACCTACGAACTCAACAGGAGATCGAAGATAAGAATAGGAACAACACTCTGAACAGAAAAGCGACCACTTTCTGGAAGGTAGGACGTGCAAAGAAGTGAATCCAGGCGATATTCCGGAGGATAGACGGCGGGGGAGGGGACCTCCCCCCGCCGCTTCTGGCAACTGATAGAGCCGCGGAGCACAAAATCGGAACTTTTAGAAGTCGGCTCCGCTGAGGGACGTCGCTCCAGTGGCTAAGCGGGGGGTGGAACCCTCGCGGGACAGTGTGGTCTCAGGACCCTCAGGGTCACAGAAAGACCGGGGGTGCCTGAGTGCGGCAGAGCTCACAGGTATCGGAGTGGGGAAGCCAGCTGCAGAGACGGAGCCGAGGCGCGAACTCTCAGCTCGGGGTGGCCATAAACTGTGATCTGCGGCCCAATCGGGGCACGGCTCCCCAAGCAGGGACCCAACAAGCAGCAGAGCCGGGGAGACTCCCCTTCCTCCCCAGGGAGAAGCGGCGCGGAAGCGCACCGCAGGGATCTGCTGGGTTTGGAGACTCCACACAGGGTCGGGTGCCAGACATAGAAACACTCAATCACAGGCCGGGTGAGCACGGAGTGCTGCCGAAGACCGGGGAGACGGGAGTGACTGCTTTTCTCTGGGGGCACACTGAGGAGCGGGGCCCCGAGTTCTCAGCTCCTCCTGGTGGAGATTGGGAGGCCACCATTTTCACCCTGGTCCTCAAAAGCTGTACGGAGAACTTGCAGGGAACAAAAGCTCCTGAGAGCAAACCGGAGCAGCTTGCTTAGCCCGGACTCACAAGGCCGGGGCAATTCCGCCTCTGGCAAAGACATTTGGGAACCACGGCAACAGGCCCCTCCCCCAGAAGATCAGCACGAACAGCCAGCAAGCCAAGACCAAGTTTACCGATTAAGGAGAACGGGAGAACTCCAGCACTAGGGGAATACTGCACATAGAATTTATGGCTTTTTTACCATAATTCATTAGTTTTTCAAAGTTAATTTTTTTAACTGGTTTTTTTTTTGAATTTTTCTTTTTCCCTTTTTCAAACAACATCTTATCAATCCCTTTTTTAAAAAAAAACTTTTTATTTTTAATTTTTAGAGTCATATTTTTCTCCCTTCATAGTAGTTACCCTTATTTTTGGCATATATATATAAGTTGTTCTCTATTTAAAATTTTGAGATACAATTTCTTCTAACAGATCAAAATATACCCTAAATCACTAGTGTATGGCTTTGTTCTAATCTCCTGCCTGATCACATTCTCTCCTTTTTTTTTCTTTTTAAATCTTCTTTCTTTTTAAAAACTTATCAATTCCTTTTATAAAATCTTTTATAATTTTCATCTTTACAGTCATCTGCCATCCCTTCATTGTATCAACCCTTATTTTGTACATATATGTCTTTCTTCCTTTAAAATTTTAGCAGGCACTTTCTTCTAACAGACCAAAATATGCCCAAAAGCTAGTGTGTGGTGGCACTGATCTATGCACTAGCCTGATCATATTTGATCATATTCTGGTTTTTTTTTTGTTTTGTTCTGTTTTTGTTTTTATCTTTTTCCTTTTTTTTTTCTCTTTCTTTCCCTTTCTTGTCCCCTGGTTTCAGGTCTTTTCGGATTTGTATAGAGTATATTGGCTGGAGACGTTCTTAACCTGTAAGCATTCTGTTCTCTCATTCATCTGTTCTCCTCTGGACAAAACGACAAGACGAAAAAAATCACCTCAGCAAAAAGAACAAGAGGTAGTATCGTCTGCCAGGGACCTACTCAATACTGACATTAGTACCATGTCGGACCTAGAGTTCAGAATCATGACTTTAAAGATACTACCTGGGCTTGAAAAAAGTGGAAGTTATTAGAGAAACCCTTTCTGGAGAAATAAAAGAACTAAAATCTAACCAAGTCGAAATCAAAAAGGCTATTAATGAGGTGCAATAAAAAATGGGGGCACTAACTGCTAGGATAAATGAGACAGAAGAAAGAATCAGCGATATAAAAGACCAAATGATGGAAAATAAAGAGGCTGAGAAAGAGATAAACAACTACAGGATCACGAGGGCAGAATTCGAGAGATAAGCGAT